TCAATCAATCAATCAATCAATCAATCAACCAACCAACCAATCAATCAATCAATCAATCAATCAATCAATCAGTCAGACAAGAATGCATATTTGTCAGCCCATCAATAAACAAGTATAGAAGCCCTCCAGATAGAGAGCGAAACATCTTTCCACAAAAAAGAAGCTGTCCAGATGACCATTATTGGATTTTGTACCTGGATGATTGAGCATGAACTTTGATGTCTTGAACCACTTTGGCTGTGGCTGCCTGCCTGGGAGGAGTCGATATGGGGACAGGACAGGCCCCAGAAACCATCTTATCACCAGCAAACTGGTTGGTCCACTAAAGGAGTGTACTGCTTAGTGGGAAAACCAGAAAAAGAAACTGTCCAGATGACCTGACTGAAAATTATTGGATTTGATACCTGGATGATTGAGCATGAACTTTGTTTACTTGGGACTCCTCAGACTGATGAAGTCCTCCGGATAGAGGGTGAAATGTCTTTCCACACACACAAAAAAAAAAACTGTCCAGATGACCTGATTGACTATTATTGAAGTATAGAAAAGTTTTTTCCTAAACAAAATGTAAAATTTAGTAAAGTCATAGTGTAAATGATCATTATAAATAGTGCATAAACCAGTCAAATGTGCAAATGCGAGTTAAGATTGTACAATATAGTGCAGAGAATGCAAAAAAAGGTAGTGCACTAGAAGACAACAGCCAAGATGACTGGCATAGAAGAACTGTTTAAAAACTATTGAGAGGCTGGAGGGTACCGAAGGGCAGTGTAGAACATTTAGCTAAAGGAACACTGAAGAGGCTTTTGTTGGAGGTAATGGTTGAAATCCGACTTCTTGTGGTGAGAAACTGTTACGACGTCTGGAAGTTCTGATGCTTCTGAACCTTTGACCAAACTGCAAAATGATGGGGCAGGAGCTTTGATAGTCTTCTCAGCTGTGCTCACTACTCATTGGAAGATATTGAGGTCAGCTTCACTGCACTATCTAAACCAGGAAGTGGTGGAGAGCATGGAAGGGAGAAGCATGGCCTTTTGCAGTTTTCCCAGAAAGTGCCAGTAAATGAGAAGAAATGCTATGATTATGCACATCATCTTAACCCCCCTTAACACTGGACGACAACCCAAAAATAAAAAAGTAGCCAGAATGTGGATGGGTTTTGCAGAGTTTTGGCAAGGTCTTCAGCCACATGCAGGACCTTTCACAGTAAAGTTATGGTGTCACTGTGGTAGCAACATATGGAGGTGGATACACTCTGTTCACTGACAACAAATGAAATGTGAGGGTGAGGTGGCAGTGTATTCATGATGTGGGACTTCTCTGCAGACAGTTCTAGAAGTTGTCTCATGGCTAGATTTAGGGCATGGTGCAACTGTCTGTACACATGTCAGGACTGTTGCAGGTATGTGCTGTTGACTATACAATGTTTGAGGAGGTAGTAGAGATTGTCACCTATCCCACCAACATTTTGATGTTGGCATTACCGGGAGTTGGACCAGCGATCTTCTGATCACAGGTCACCTTCTCTAACCTCTGCACCACCACTCCCTGGATGTTCCATCAAATAGTTATCAATAATTTGTTCTCACATCAGCCACAGAACACAAATTATGAAGGAGAGATATGCTAAACTTGTTTTTCAAGCTCACAAAGGAACTCCTTCTCATGTACTGGTGTGAAAAAGAGCCGCGATAAAAGCTCACTATAAAACTCAACTTGTGCATGACACCATTTGTTTAGTTTACAATCGCATAAACAAAATCACATGTAGTGGTGTCCCGATACCAACACTGGTATCGGTATTGAGCCTGATATCAGCATTTACACAAGTATTCGTACTCAAAAAAAATGTCTTGATACCTAGGACCAATACTGCTTATATGTTTGGTGGCACCTACTTCCACTGTGCAAATGGCTGAAGGTAAAAAAAAAAAAAGTCTATAGCTTGGAGATATTTTAAAATAAACATGGATGATAAAAAAAAAGCAGATTGTCTGCTGTGCTCAGCTGAAATGTGAAGAGGAGGGGAAAACAATAGCAGTTTGGATGAAACACGAGGCGGAGTTCAAAGAGTTTGCTGCTGCTAGCAGCTCATCACAACCAACGCTGCAGCAAGTTCTCCAGAAATGTGAAAAAATGGCATCAGACAATCCACATGCATTAATGATAACCGAAGCCCTTTTTAAATTCATCACTCTTGACGACCAGCCGTTTTCAGTGGATGATTCCAGGTTTCACCATCTTCTCAACATGTTGGAGCATCGGTACAACATTCCCAGCCACCACCATATTGTTGAAAAAACTGACAAAGATGTATGACTTCACAAAAGAGCAAGTCAAGAGCCTGTTGCATGCAGGACATTCCTGCATTCAGTTTGATCTTGGGTATGTGGCGGAGCAGTGTAAGTCCATCCATCCATCCATTATCTTTACCCGCTTCTTCATTTTGGGGTCGTGGGGGTCACTGGTGCCCATGTCCAGCTATCACTGTGCGAGAGGCGGGGGACACCCTGGACAGGTCTCCAGTCCATCACAGAGCCACATAAAGACAATTTAGAGTTACCAATCAGACTAAGATACATGCTTTTGGTCTGTAGGAGGAAACCAGAGTACCCGGAGAAAACCCACGCAGCACGGAGAGAACATGCAAACTCCATCAAGATAGGTCCCGGGATTTGAACCGACGACCTTCACACTGAGAGGCAACATCTCTAACAACTGCGACACCGTGCCGCCAGTGTAAGTCCATTATCTCTTATTACAGTAGCTGAAGATTTTCCTCTCCAGAGAGCCGTGTTACAGAATTTACACTTCAAGTAAATGTTTCAGGTCCAGTTGAAGTTGAGAGAAAATCCATTTTATTATATTTTTATTTATTTAAAACAGCAGCATACATCATGCTCTACATTTGATTTGATACAGTCAGAGGGACTGTAGGCCTATAAGTAAAGAGATCCACCTTGTCCTAAATAAAAGGAATGTGTTTTTTAAATCATTGTGTAATGTTTATGTACTCTGTTTTGGTACTCAGTATCGGCGAGTACACAAACTGAAGTACTTGTACTCGTCCTCGGTTTGATAAAAACTGGTATCAAGCCACCTCTGATCACAAAACTATCTATTTAAAAACAACAGCTGTTCCAAGAGCGGAAAATGCTGCTGCAAACAGAACAGGGGAATAATCTATTACTTGGCATGATAAAACCAAATACTGCTGAAACTTTGTCTTGTGTTGTCGCTTGAATTTTTACCATAAATTGAAGGTGGGTAGCAAAAGCAAAATTTCTGCAACCACAACCATGACTGAAAATAATATTACTGATAAAAAGAGTTTTTACACAACGCACAAACCAAAGGCATGCAAACAGTGCAGCGTTAAACACAAGTGAACCAGTTTGTGAAGGATCATACACACTTTTTATATCAATGTCACGGTGATCTGAAAAAAAAAAAAAATTCAGAAAAACCTCAAAGCTCTGCAAACGGTCTTTGTAAACTTTACAAATATCTGTAGGGCGAGAGGAATTCAGGTGAACCAAAAACCCCCCCTCATGAATAAGTTTGTCGGTTTCTATGACAACCAGGTCAGGTACAGGCCTTAGGTCAAGAAAATGGGCACTGGAAACAACCAGTGAAAGGTCCACATACACACAGAGGTCCCAGTTCAAACCGATAGCATCCAAAACAAGTGTCAAATGCCTGACTCATGTCTGAGTAAAGATTGTTTTAAACCCAAACTGCAAAACCTTTTGTCTTACTTACTTTCTGTATTTCTCAATATGTGTTATGGTATATAAAGTGTAATATGTTTATTGTTTAACTGAGAGATGAACATTTTCTACACAATGCAGCGACAGACAAAAACATGTCATTTTCAACCGGCTGTGCAAGAGTCAGGTGAGAAACAAGTATTTGTACACAGATCTGACCAAGTTCTGTTAACATAAAAATAATAACAGGCCTTCAAGTGGTTCTGTGGATAATTATCTGTTTCAAGGCACTAGCTGTGTCATCACGGGATGAATGTGTGAACTTGTCTGAAACGTTCTACTTTCTGTGCACGCTCTCTCTCTTTATTTAATTTGTACATTTTGGAGGAAGCACCCACCTTCTCCCCCGTGCCGATTTGCAGCCCCTGCATCACTTTGGCAAAGGAGCCCTTGTTGATCATCTTCCCAATCAGGTAGGATCCCACCCGTTTGGAGTGGGGGAAGCTCCGCAGCAGCTCCCGGGGCACCTTCAGAGCGGGCAGGGGCAGCCTCTCTCGGCCCAGCCCTGAGGTGTCCCACTGGGACACTTCTTGCTCTCCAACTCCCCCTCCATCTGCAACCATGTTCTCCAGGTTCACCGCTGCAGCTGGCATTTCAGACAGGGCCCCATGTGACCACCTCTGACACTCACAGCTGGATCCAAAACCAGAACAATTCTTGTGGAAGGCGCATGCTGACAGCGTTTTGGTCGACACCAATCAGGCTACAAAAACTGAATAAAGATGAAGTCCAGGCCTCAGCTGTGATCTTCTGTTCTCCTCTCTGTCCGGTGTACGCCTCCTCTTCCCTCCTTCGTTTGATTTTGTTTTAGTGTCTCAGAGTGTCGCTCCTTCAGGTGCTCAGGTGACTCATCTCTCTCTCCTCTCTCTCTCTCCGAGTCACTCCGCCGGTTAGTGTATGATTAACCGTTGTGTTCTTAGGTCAGCTTCGACGATGAGGAGGACATTCTACACCGTAATCACCCCCCCCCCCCCCACAGTACACACACTGATGCTCACAGTTACACAGTAACCTTTAGGAATGGTCTCATTTCACCTCCTGAAGCTGCACTTGGAGTTATTTATTTTTGTCCTGGTCAGTTTGCTCAATGAAATATATAGATACCACCTTTATTATTTCCCCTTCAAAAGGTCAGAGGTCATGGAAACTAAAATAATCTGCCCCCTGCAGATGAAAATGGCTTTAATGCCTTCTTCACCAAACTTTTATCCTTGGTTCCTGTATCAAAGGGGGTATTTAGCTTCAAACTAGTAATACAAGAATATAACAAAAGTAAGACAAGGAACCTAAAATACAACCCGTCATTGAAACCAGGTCACGCACACGAAAGAACACAAAGTTTAACTTACTAAAACTTTTTAAAGTAACACATGAAATATTTGAGGATATTTTAGTTTTAGGTCTAGTCGAAGTGATTGAGAAGCATCGGCCTGGCTCGCGGGAGCTCACACGATCTCAAGACGTTCATTCATTTATAAAAAAGCAGAGTGCATCCATTAATGTACACCCACTGGCCTTTTCATTAAATACACTTTGCTAGTACCGGGTCAGACTTTCTTTTGTCTTTAAAACTGCCTTTATTCTTCATGTCATAGGTTCAACAAGACGTTGAAAACATTCCTCAGAGACTTTGGTCTTACTGACATGTTGGCATCATGTGCTTGCTGCAGATTTGTCAGCTGCACGTCCACAATGTAAATCTGTGTTTCCACCACATCCTTAAGATGCTGGACTGGACTGAGATCTGGTAACCGTGGAGACCGTTGGAGTCCAGTGAACTGAGACTCAACAGACCAGTAAGTGTTTTCCCAGTCTCTAATCTCCAATAATCTCCAACTGTAATGAGTCAGTGAGAACTCTGTTAGGGTTAGCGGCCATCACAGCACTAACGATATGTCGTTAGGCTGATGGTCCTCCTTTTGCATGTGAACAAGTAGTTTTGTCTGTCATCAGCAAACTGATCCACTATGAGAAGGTGCTATTTATAAGACTGAGTTTAGTGCAGCTCCTCAGACTGACGGAGTCTTTAGGATAAAAGATTAAACATTTCAAGTTTTTTAATTAATCTTTTAATCCGTCCAGAGGACACAACAACTTTGTTAGACCTAGAGATGGCTGTGATAAAAATTGTCAGTCTTTCAGCAGATAAATATGCAGATCAGCCTGTGTGGCACCAATGATCAGGCCCCATTCAAAGTCACTTAAACAGGAAATGACCCGTGTTGTGATGCTTAGTTTCAACTTCAGCAAGTTGTCTTCACCATGTCTAGAATCCTACATGCACTGAGTTGCTGCCGTGTGGCTGATGAGTTTGTGTCAGTAAGCATTTGAACAGGTGGACCTGATAAAGTGACAGATGACGGTTATATTTAGAATTAAAAGAATAAAAGTTGGACATAAACACACTAGGCCTCAGTTACAAACAAGAAACACTTATCAATCTTTTCCAGTTAGCACTACTTAGCATTAGTAAAAATATAAAATATGACAGAAGATCACTAAGTCGTGTTTGGGAAACTTTGTCTTCTATTGTTTTAATCTAAAGAAGCTATGAAGATGAGTTTTTTTGCCCTCGTCATCATTCAAATAAAATACTGCCCAAGTGGTAACATGTGATTTACTATTTTCACTGCGGTACAGTAAAATACAAATTTTTTACTGAAACTGTAACTGTGGATAGATTTTTATTGTTTGGGTCCAATTAACAACACATTTGTTTTGGGGAGCATATACTGTAACAAGAGCATGACAACTCTTAGATCTTCTTCCAAATATGAAAGAGAATAAAAGTTGTTTTTTTTTAATAGAATCTGTAAACTCATTACATAAGTACTATACATGACTACATCTTGGACAGTAAGCTCATATGATACTAATGGTCAAATACACAATCAGCCACTCTTTATGTCCTATCTCTGGGTGCCTGTATTTGTCTGCCTGTCTGTTTTTTTAGCAAAATAACTCATGAACCAGATAACAGGTTTAAATGCGACCCTTAAAAAGTAATCACTGGATGTACATGTACAACTGATTACCTTTTTGGAGTCAGTTTGATTTAAAATGGCCACCACAACTAAATGAGCCACGCAAACACAGAGATGGCTTCAAGTCAGTTGTTCCAGAATTGCACCGCTCAAGGTGGCTGCATGTTGGGAGTAGCTTTCTTACATTCATTCTGAGATTTTACTTTTGAAAACTTTAATTCCTGGCTTTTTTCAGATGATTACTTCCTCTGGTATTAGATGCTGTGCCGCTAGAAGGATTTTTACTGAAACCTTTTTTTTACTTTTGGACATTTGTTATGATGTGTAACCATGACAACAAGGTGGTTTTCTACAACTGGGAGCAGCTGATTAACATCTCAAAATCTCATATAATACCTCAGCTACAGCCCCAAATCCCAAATTAATTGAAAAGGAGGCACCATGGATGCATTCCCGTCTACCTGGAGGCGGTGCTTGAGTGCCTGACTGCTGAGATCTTGGAGGTAGCTGGAATCGCGGCTCATGAAAACGCGAGGGCCGAAATCGTATCCTGGCACCTGCAGTTAAAGTCTGTGGCGATGAGGGGCTCAGCAGGCTGCTGGGAGAAATGGCCATCGCTCAGGGAGGAGTTCTGCCAGGCATTCAGGCAGTCCTGATGCCCAAGAGGACGGAGAGGTCTGCTGAGTCTGGGTGGATGGATCGGCATCTGCAGCCAGTTTCTTCCGATCCGCTGTGGAACAGACTGCTGCAGATCCTTCCTGCCCACAGCCATCAGCATCTATAACAACTCTAAGGATGATGAGCTACAACAACAACAACTAATTTCCCTTTGGGATTAATAAAGTATTTTGAATTGAATTGAATTGAATTGAAGTCAGTCGATTTTATAGTTATTGAGTTCAAGTTTGGCGAGGTAGTAGCTGAGAGTCATAGGAGATTGTGCTCATTTTTCTTTATAGCTTTTGGCAGGGGGCGGCACGGTGGCGCAGTGCTTCCGCCTCTCAGCAAGAAGGTTGTTGGATAAAATGCTGGGCCTGGCGTTTGCATGTTCTCTCCGTGCATGCATGGTTTTCTCCAGGTACTCCAGTTTCCTCCCACATACCAAAAACATGCATGTTAGGCTGATTGGTAACTCTAAATTGTCTCTAGGTGTGAGTGAGAGAATGAATGGTTGTTTGTCTCATTTGTCTATGTGTCCTTATGATGGACTGGAGACCTGTCCAGGGTGTACCCTGCATCTCGCACACTGACTGCTGGACATGGGCACCAGTGACCCAAAAAGGAAGAAGTAGGTAAGGATGATGGTTGAATGGATGGATGAACCGATCTTTGGCAATGGAAGACCTGCATTCTTTTAGGAAAAGCTAGTTTCATTATTTAAAGTAAAAGCAGGTGTTAGAAGGCTTCAGGGGATAAAAACTTCATGATACTTCCTGTGGAGGTGGTCATCAGTGGAGAGAAGCAGTGAAAGTCTGAGCTGATGATTAGTCAGCATTCTTTCTTTGGTCTGCGTGTTTTAAAGCACATGTCTGTGCAAACGTCAGGCTCAGATTGCAGTGTTGCTGGTTGATGTTTTTCAGAAGTCACTCAGCTAATGAAAAGAAGGATATTATTGTCATAAAGTGCGTGATGCTACACAAAGCTTAAAAAGTCTCGGAGAGCATCTCCCTGTTTGTCTGTTTCTTATGAAAGGAAGCCTTACGGAGTTCCTGTGGTACCAAGCAAGGATTCTAGTTACCTTTTCTTGTTCTATTATTTGATTTGGGCTTCAACCTGTGCATGAAATGCCATCAACGAGACAATTCACAATAACATTAATGTCCTACTTCTTCTCCATGTACTGTATTTGTTGTCATATACAGTAAGTGCACCTTTTTACATAAATTAGCATGCCTTGTGACCTATACAGTGAACTGATTTTTTTTCTTCCTCATATTTATTCAATTCAATTCAAATTCAAAAACACTTTATTAATCCCAAAGGGAAATTAATTGTTGTTGTAACTCGTTATCCTCATTTCATTAAAAGATGTTATAGATGCTGATGGCTGTAGACAGGAAGGATCTCCTGCAAAGGTCCATCCCACAGTGGATCCTAAGAAACTGGCTGCAGATGCCGTCTGATCCGTCCACTCAGACTCGGCTGTCCTCTTGATACCCCCGGGCTGTAGGACCGCCCAAATGCCAGGCAGAACTTCTCCCAGAGCGATGGCCACTCCTCCCAGCAGTCTGCCGAGCTCCTCGTCGCTGCGGACAGCCAACTGTAGGTGCCGAGGGACGATCCCGTCCTTCCGCTGTCATGAGTCATGTTTCCTTCTAGTTCCAGGATCTCAGTGGTCAGGCACTCGAGCACAGTAGGCAGGTAGATGAGAATGCGTCCACAGAACATCCTTTTCAACTCATTTGAGATTTGGGGCTGTAGTTGAGATATTATTTGAGCTTTTGAGATGTTAATCAGCTGCTGTTGGTTGTAGAAAACTGCTTTGTTGCCATGGTTACGCATCATAACAACTGTCCAAAACTAAAAAAAGTTTCAGTAAAAATCCTTCCAGCTGCACAGCATCTGTTACCAGAGGAAACAATAATCCAAAAAATGTGATTTACATCCAGAAAAAGAGGAATTAAAGTTTCCAAAAGCAAAATCTCT